TTAATAAAGGTCATAGTATCTTCTGCTGGTGACAACTTGTCTCAATATAGTCTGTCTCGAGAAAGAACTGGTTCAGATGAGTTTTGGAGAAAGAAAAAGACTGTCATCAACCCCACTCCAGAGTGGAAGAGGCACCAAGTTCTCTCCTACAGTTATCAGCAGAATCTTAAAGCAATGATCAACATTTTCAGTGATCAACATCTGCATCCTCAAACTGTCCAGCAACTGTTGGTGTGGTATCCACCTCCATCCCATCTTCATAATCTCCTATTGAATCCTGTCCTGACCCCTGCCATATTATACTGGCTGCTTACAGATTGAGAAAGCATTCCTTCTAATCTCTCCAATGTGGCTTGGCCTTCTGCTGTTAAATGGGATAATCCTTCTTCATAGGTATAAAATGTAGGGATGTCCCCTTGTCCTTGTTCATGTGCTTCCACATCATATTCTTCTCCATCATATTCATCTGAATCTTCATCCTCAGGATCTGGATGCAAGGCCTGGCATTCACACATGGCAGTGAACAGCGCCTCCAATGCTAACTTATCACTAGGCACAAATCTAAATTCAGTAATAGGTTCAACATCATCATCGCTGTCTTCCTCTTGTTCATCAGCAACAGATTCTTTTGATTCTTCTCCGAATTTGGCATTCACCATTACATACAAATGCTCTCGTGGATAGGCGTTTAGGTCCCTGGACACAGCATGTAAACTAATAGTGGGGTATTCCAGTGAGAATCCTAATCCAGAGCCATCTAACCAAGACAGGCGGCTCTCAGCGATGTAGAGGGTCCCGGTGCCCAGCCCTTCCCGTTCAGCACAGCCTCGGTATCTGGCTGCTGCTGCCGAAGGCCATCGGCCGGCCTGGGCGGCGGGAAACTTTTAAGGAAGCTCATAGCAGCAGGGAGTTCAGGAACACAGGCCGGGAGGGAACTGGCCACAGCAATACCGCACGTTGGGCAAAAACTACTTTTTAAAGTGACAACTCAGAGATGTCAATTGTAGAGTTAGCGGATGTCACTGTTTTGCATTGGTCTGTGTATTGTATAAAATATACTTGATCTTTACCTCTGGTTCCTGGCACAGAGTTCCTAAAACTTTGGGATTTCCTGAGTGTTAGGAGTGTCTTGTTATTCCTAATGAGTCCCCTTGATCACTCCTGAGTTTATGCTAGTGAGGTGACTTAGATCAGGATCCCTGGACAGCTACAGGATGGGGCTGGTCACCAGAAAGGCCAAGTGATTAGACAGTTAGAACTTTCAGCCACGCCCACTAACCTCTGCTTTGTAAAAAACACTTGACAAGACTTGATGAGTTTTGGGGGGCTGTAGGGTGCTGGGAGTATGGCACTACAGAACAATGTGGCAGCACCCCACCCCCATGCCCTGCCCTATACATCTTTTCTATCTGGTACTTCCTCAGCAGTATCCTTTATACGAAATTCGTAAGCATAAGTAAAGTGTTTCTCTGAGTTCTGTGAGCCATACCTACAAGTTGTGGAACTCAAGGAGGCAGTTGTGGAAATCCCAGTTTTATAGCTGAGTGGTCAGAAGTACAGGTCATAATCTGAGGCCTTTACTGGCATCTGAAGTGGGGCAGTCTGTGGGACTGAGTCCTTAACCTGTGGGATCTTGATGTTACCCCCAGGTGGACCACGTCAGAAATGAATTGAATTGAATTTCAGAACATCCAGCTAGTGTTTGCTAAGGATTTGCTTGCTGTGGGGAACAATCCCCCACATCTGGTGCCACAAGTGTGCTGTGAGAGTGTAGTGTAGAGAAATAGTGTTTTTCTAAAGATCCTTTCATCCTGTCTTCGCTAGGTATGTAAGGGCCTTTACCCTTGGAAAATTTGCTAAAAAATAAGCTGACAAAAAGCAGATTAATAAAAGGCATACAAATTTATTAACCTACTAGGTGTCTTATGAAGATCTCAAAGAAATAGCCATATAAGTGACACTTTTCTACCATCTTGAGGCTACAGAAAGAATGGGGACTTGGAGCATGGCCACAAACAGGTTATGGCGCTAAATCAGCTTATGGTGGCAAGACAGTTCATGAGAGGGAAAGAATAAGCTACCTGGCTAGCATATGTGGTCTTGTTGTGTAGGTGAAATCTCACAGGTATCAGCTCTCAGAAAGAATAGATGGTAAATGTTTGTTTGAACTTCGGAAGATGTCAAGCACTCTAGTCAATCTTTCCTAGATCCATACAAGGGGTTGAGGAGTACTTCAGTGAAAGCCTGTTTGCTTATCTTGTTTACTTCAGATGCAAGTCCTTTTCACAAAAGACAGCTTTTCAACTATTTTTGTATTTCAAGCCTTTGAAATATGTCAACAAAGTATATTTTGGGATGGGATATTTTTATTTCCTTTAGGTGAAAGCAACTGTTCAGTCCTCCCCTCTTCCCTGCTCTTGTGACTTTGAATAGTTCTTTCCTAAACACAGAAGCATTTTGTCATGTTCCTGAAGTTTAGAAAGCAGAAGACCAAGGGAATGTCTATGATGGTGCTGCCACAGAGCTAGGAGATGGAGAAACACAGCAGATCCCTTTCCAGGAAAGACAGAAGCCTGCAACCATCTTGGATTATGCATAGCGAACGGTCCTTAGGCATCAGTTCTTACCCTCCGGAGGCCAGACATCATGCATTCCCCTGCCTGTTGCAGTCTTATCTAAACATCAGATTGTCGATACAGAACCAAGTTCTGTGATTATTTTGATTATTCTTGCAGTGCGAAAACAGAGACCTGGACGAATTGTAAAATCCTAAATTCTGGTTGAGTGACTGTGTCTCTGCGTGCTGGGCTTTTTGCAAATGCTCTTGCCTTTTTTCACCTCTTCTCTTGTTTCAGGAAATTTGATGGAATTTACTTTTCTCCATTTTAGGAATGATACTAACATTTTTTTTCTAGAAAAGATTATGCATAGAGCCAAAATACATCACTGGCCAGATATCTGAAATACAGAAAATGAGTTATATGAGTTTTCTTGCCTTTAAACTTTCTTTGAGAGGTTGATTCTGTAGGCCTACTCTTCTAGACAGTGGAGTTTTAAGAAATTTCCAGATGAGGTCAGATCACTGGTTAAACTCATGTCCAGCTTTTGGCTTTGCTAGACCACACAACACAGTGTTGCCTATCCTTCAGGCTCTGGCAGCAGAATCTACATCAAGAGCTTTGGACTGTGTGCATTTTGCTGTGTCATGGAATGATAGGATTCTTTTCCATCTTGCCTAACTGTGGGAGCAGAAGTTGGAAAGACCTTTTAAAATGTCCCTGTTGTTTCTCTGACATACTTTGGACATAGCTTTCTCTTCAGTAATAACATATTTCAAGAGGGAATAAGTGAGCCCATGTTTTTATCTCTCCTTGTTTAATAGTGGAGGAGACCCAGCTTCTGGCTCTTCTACTCCAGTGAAAAGAATTTGAATGAAGGAAGAACCTTTTTTCCTAGATCTCTTCCAGAGTCTGTGTATTTTAGCAATAACGTGGACAGAATGCTTTGTGTTTCCCAGGTTTTGTCACATTTGTCTCATTTAAGTGATCCCTTGAAGTAGAAGGTTGAGGTAGTATCAGCCTTTTTGTAGGGTAAAGGGACCAAGACTCAGAGACTTGGAATGAGTTGCTCAAGGAGAATAACAAGTGAGCGTAAACTTGGGAAGTGAAATTTAATCTGGATTCTTTTTTCTTTTTTTAGATATAGGATCTGACCGTGTTGCCCAGCTGGAGTGCAGTGGTGCAGTCATACCCACTGCAGCCTCAAACTCCTGGGCTCAAGCAGTCTTATCCTGCTCAGCCTCTTGAATAGCCTCCAACAGTCACATGCCATCTTGCCTGGCTAATTTTTTGTAGAGGCGAGGTCTCTCTCTGTTGTCTAGACTGACTTCAAGCATTCCTCCAACATTGGCCTCCCAAAATGCTGGAATTACAGGCATGAGTCACTTCGCCTGGCCTGGATTTTTTTTTTTTAAACTCCATATACTGTTTTTTGTTTTGTTTTGTTTTTCCTTAACACTATTAAGCCACTACCAGGCCTTTCTGTGTTAAGTTGTGGAAGTCTGTTAAAAGATTACTCCTGTTACTAGACCAAGCATATATATTATTTAAGTCCTTTATATCCTTGAAAACTAAAAGTGTTGCCTTCTTGGAGTAGTTTGGTGGAAGGCACTTGTTTGCAGCATGCTTGATTTTGCTATTTGTGAATAGGGCCATGTGGCCATACAGGAGGAGTCATGAGATCTGTGGACTGTCAAGAGTGAGTTCCTTACGTAACCTAGAGACAGAAAATTAGGAAGTGAGGAGCTGGGCCTGAACAACCCACCCAGACTTCTTGAGTTTCCAACTCTCCACAGTAGGAGACTTTTGTCCTAGTTATCAAGGGAGAAGGCTGCTCTAGGAAGAGAGGGTTTGAATTTCCTTCTAGAATGTGTGCTTCTTGGCTACAGTCTGATCCCAGGTGACTGCAACGGAAGCTTTCAGGGAGATGGAGGTGTTCACTATGGAATAGGGGTCTCATTCTTGCTCTTGTGTTTTGTCCTCCACCCCCACAGTGGGCCACCCTGAGGATGGAGAGAGGAGCCAAGGAGAAGAACCACCAGCTTTACAAGCCCTACACCAATGGTGAGATTGGCTCTGGGTCCTTCTCCTAGGAGGTTATTTGAAGAGATTCCCCGGTGGGGAACACATACTCTTTAATTACACACATACTCTTCCCTACATAAAACATAGCATGTGTACTCAGAGTGTGTCTCTTTGTGCTCTCCCAGCATGCTGCTTGATGGGAGCATACTTTTTTGCAGGAATCATTGCAAAAGATCCCACTTCACTAGAAGAAGAGATCAAAGAAATCCGTCGAAGTGGCAGTAGTAAGGCTCTGGATAATACTCCAGAGTTTGAGCTCTCCGACATTTTCTACTTTTGCCGGAAAGGAATGGAGACCATTATGGATGATGAGGTGACAAAGAGATTCTCAGCAGAGGAGTTGGAGTCCTGGAACCTGCTGAGCAGAACCAATTATAACTTCCAGTATATCAGCCTCCGGCTCACTGTCCTGTGGGGGCTAGGAGTGCTGATTCGATATTGCTTCCTTCTGCCGCTCAGGTGAGGGCAGGGCTTGTAGGCACACAAGGCTTGAGCTGCTGTGCCTCAGCCCAACGCGTGCCTACCTGCCTGTCTCTGCTGTTTTTCTGTTTTAAAAAGGAAAATAGAATGAGTCTGTCGCTGGCCAGGGCATGTGACTCTTGGAAGGGCATACTGGTGATTCTCCTTTGAAGGCCCTTGGATTCTCTGCATATCAGACAGAAATAGTTAGGTTTGTTAAAGACAGATTGCTTGTCTATACAAACTAAGCACAGGGCCAGGAACATCAAGTACTTTCTGGCTACTCCTTCCTGGGCATGGCTCATCTTTTCCTGAAGCTTGCCTCACGTACAGAGGCAGTATTGATCTCTCAGCTTCTTTGAGATGTCTTTCCAGATGCTGGTACCTTCAGGCTCTACCTTCTATTGCTTCACAGAGAAGCTATTCTTCTGCCAGGGTTTCAAGCCAAAGGGAAGGGTAAGACAGCAGGGTAGCAGTTCCTGTGGGCAGAACAGCCAGCTTGAGGACTTTCCATTGCTCTTTCTGGCCGATGCCCGGGATAGGGTGTCAGCCGAAAGCCAGGACCATGCATGGTTCGCTCTCAGGTTAGAATCAGAATGATATCTGGTTCCGACAGGCCTGCTTATGTTTCTGATCCAATCTTGGGGGGGTGGTTTTTATGATGTCCATTTTCATGTGTACACATTCATTTCTGTGCTTAGTGCAAGGACTTGTATTTTAACGTGTCATCTTCTTACAGGATAGCACTGGCTTTTACGGGGATCAGCCTTCTGGTGGTGGGCACGACTGTGGTGGGATACTTGCCAAACGGGAGGTGAGTTATCTGGGAGAGTCTGTCCTCAGGGTGGTTGGTTCTGGGAATGGTGCTCAGATACTAAAAGCCAGGCCATTCTTTGGATACAACCAAACCCGTACAATCTTAAGTGGATAGAGTAACTTAGTAGTAACAATGTCATCTGCAGTAACATCTTTTTAAAAAACTGATCTTTATCTGTGACTGTGTTCTTTTTGCCCTCCAACCCTTACGGTCTTCCCATTTTAAAGACAAAGGAAGAGGCCACAGCAATGTAGTCCAGAACCCAGATGTTAAGAGATTTTATAGCATGTTAAGTTTTGAGCATTCTACTATGTTGATAAATGGGTGAGAAGATCAGTTTTAAAAATGATTTGAAATGTAGGCAGGTTTTAATTTGTTTTGTGTTGTTGTTGTTGTTGTTGTTGTTAAGAAGAAAATGTTGCTCCTCCGGGAAATTCTGGGTCTAGTAGACGGCTCTTCTGCCTGGGCTGGTGAGGAGGTTGGAATTCCTGGCCTTTGGTCTGCCTGTGGGCATTGACTGGGAAAGGAATCTGGAGACATCCTGGCCCACCTATGCCAAGACTCTAGCCCATTAACTTGGTGGGTAGATGCAGGCAGGCCTCACTGTCATTTGTTTGCTCATGGGAGAGCATAAAGTATGCTAATCCTCACAGGGTCTTAGTGCATGTACTGATGTCTGTGAGAGTACTTTATGGTCATAAAGGACTGGCAAACTGCTGAAGGCAGCAGCTTTTTCTGTCTTCCTACATGTAAAACAAAACCTAGCATCCTTGTACTATTGCAGGTTTAAGGAGTTCCTGAGTAAACATGTTCACTTGATGTGTTACCGGATCTGTGTGCGCGCCCTGACTGCCATCATCACCTACCATGACAGGTGAGGGAGCTTTGTGTGGGTACAAAGGGAGATGGCACCAGAAAGCACCCCTCCACCCCACCTCATGCCCAACCAAATGGGAAGGCATTTCTCCAGTCTTAGTGGAGCAAGTAGAACCTGTGAGGTGCAGGGTATGTTCCAAGTAAATTGTTTCACACTAATTGTTGTTGCTTTGCATACATTTTAAACTCAGGGAAAACAGGCCAAGAAACGGTGGCATCTGTGTGGCCAATCATACCTCTCCAATTGATGTGATCATTTTGGCCAGTGACGGCTATTATGCCATGGTAAGATCTCCTTCTCATGTGTTCTTAAGTCAAGACTTCTTTCTTCAGAATCGTCAGGACTGGGGGGCTTCTGACTCTTCATGTAAGCACACTTTTATACATGACTTAGATTGTCAGTGTGGGGAGTCTGTAGAAGATATTCTGAGCAGAGTAGCTGGAGATGATGCTTTAGGTGTTCAGGCAGACCTGGGGAAGGGGGCTTGGAAGGACTATACCAGGGCATTTGAGAATCTTCCCAGGTAGGGACATTTTTCTAACCTGAGTATTTTGTTTCAGGGTTTTCAGTTAGGTTTTTAGTTACATATTTCTGATATTACTGACTAAGAGGAGAAATAAGATTTGGAGAGTCTGAATAGTGGTTTCTTGATGGTGAGCACCCTATAGTTAACACTGAATGTCACAGATTAGAGGTTGGAGTGCGCATCCTGTGAGCACGGGGCTTCATCTTCGTGTAATAATGGCCTTGTTACTGATTGGTCTTTTGTCTGTGATTAGGTGGGCCAGGTGCATGGGGGACTTATGGGTGTGATTCAGAGAGCCATGGTGAAGGCCTGTCCCCATGTCTGGTTTGAACGCTCAGAAGTGAAGGATCGCCACCTGGTGGCTAAGAGGTAATGGACAAATGATGCTATTCTGTTTGACTAGCCATAAAGAATGCAGAAAACATGTTAGGGGTAGTTATCGCTCCATAGTGGAATTAAAGTACCTTCTACAATGAGCCTATATTGTTTTCATAATACATTTTTTTTTTTTTGAGTTGGAGTCTCACTCTGTCGCCCAGACTGGAGTGCAGTGGCAGCTCCCGGCCACTGCAGCTTCGACCTGCTGGGTTCTGGCGATCCTTCCGCCTCAGCCTTCCAAGTAGCTGGAACTACAAGCATGCGCTACCATGCCCGGCTAATTTTTTTTCTTTATTTATTGTAGAGATGAGGTCTCACCAAGTTACCCAGGCGGGTCTCGAACCCGCGAGCTCAGGCAGTCCACTCACCTCGGCCTCCCTAAGCACTGGGATTATAGGCTGAGGCACCAAGCCCGGCTCATAATACATTTTTTTACTAAAATATGAATAGAAAAAATAGACCTGTAACTCAACATATTAACTTGGATGAACGTAGGCAAGCCTCATCATATCTTTGTTTGCTCATGTGGGAACATAAAGGGTACTTATCCTTACAGGATCGTACCATATGTACTGATGTCTGTTACCCTAGTATGATTTACCAAGTTACCAATGTTTTTTAAGCTTTTTTATTTGTGATACCCAGTGCAACAAAATATGAACTTCTACTGGTGTTTGAAATCTCAAAATGAATTCATTAAGACAAATAGAAACAAACTTAAGGCAATGTAACAAAGTGCTGCTTTGTTTTAAAAGCTTTAAGAAAAGTTGAATCCTGTGTAAGTAATGCAAAGAGATTTACAGTAGACAAACATCAAGACTTGGTTGAGGCCTCTTCCATAGGGACAAATGAACCTTTCATTGAATTCTTCTTGCTGAATCTCAGGGACAGACTATTGAGCTGGGGAGCTAAATGCTCAACCAGCTCAACTGTCAGGCAGTTAGGTAGCATAGGTTTACTGAGGGCACCATGCCCAGACCCTTTGGTAGGTACCTTTTTGGATGATCCTTGGGCTGAGCAGCATCCTCTGGATAGATGTTGCTACTGAATCAAGCATGTGAATTAATTTAATGTGAATTAAATAATAATCATCTGATTTTCTCTACCCTTACACATTTTTTCTTCATGAGCCTTAAGTTGAGAATTTTAAAAGGATAGGGTCATAGTTGTTAATTTGATTGTTTTACATCTAAGCTAGTGCCACATATAAATAGGTAATTTATAAATGCATTTTGATAACTGTAAGGTTGTGTGACCCTTTGTTTTTCTCTTCAAAAGATTGACTGAACATGTACAAGATAAAAGCAAGCTGCCTATCCTCATCTTCCCAGAAGGTAAGGAGGGGCTGGCTGCCATGAAGAGCTTCTGGGAATGAAGTTGTGCAGGAATGTGCCTCTGGTGTTGCCCTGGAACCAAGTTCCTCAACCCTTGTTGCAGTTATCTACTTCACAATGTTAGGCCCCCTTCAGGTTGGTTTTAGGACTAAAAACTCAAGAGAAATTCAGAATTGGAATTAAGAGTGCCCAGGTCTGAACTCCCTAAATGCCGGAGCCCCATTTCATGTTGCCAGCAGAGTCTTGACTCCGTGGAGTTCTCGCTGAGCCTCTGAGGCCGCTGTGTGCCTCTACTTCCTCTAGGCTGGGTGTGCGTGTCAGGAAAAGCAGTCCTGTGGAAGGAGATTAGAAGCAGCACAGTGCTTTGCCTGCCTCTTTTAAGTATCCGTTCATAAGTTAGGGAGGTGACAGATTTATATCATGTGAAGAGCCATTTGAAGAATTTTGATTATTTCATGTGAAACTCCTAATAACTGGGGTAAAGGACCGATAGAAATAACATTTTACTCTCTTGTAATTTAGGAACCTGCATAAATAATACATCGGTGATGATGTTCAAAAAGGGAAGTTTTGAAATTGGAGCCACGGTTTATCCAGTTGCTATCAAGGTACAAGCGCCCTGAGGGTGTACATTGCCCTTACAGCTGCTCTGTAGGGGACACGTCGGGAGAAGAGGTCACCTTCAGTGGATCAGTTCTCAGCAAAGCAGCTTGAGTAGACTGCTGGAGGAGCATGCCAGTGGGTCATCACTCTTAGAAGGGCCTGCAAATGTTTGGCTGGGGAACAGCCAGGTCTGGCCCATACCCTCCACCACCCTCAGAGTCAGTAAATGTAGACCCTGCATGAGCTTGGTATTTGTCCCCTCGCTTCTTACTTTCTTCATAACCCTAACTGGAGTATGGGTTACTCCACTTGCAAAGGTGGCCAACTGCAGGAATTAAGGGTGTAGTTGCCAAGCTGGGTTTGTACTTTGGGAAGTGAGGTAAGGATGAGTGGATCTTGGTTCCAGTTCAGTGGAAGAAACAGCTCCACTGCTGTGGGCTGTGGGGTCATCTTACATACCAAGAGCAGCTCATAGCAATGAAATAGATCCTGAGGCTTTATCCAATCTTACTCTACTCTCTAGAAACTGGTCTGTCTATCCCTTCAGATTTGAAGAGAGATGGAGTACAGTTAGCCAGTTGTCTGAGCTTCATTCCTTCTTTCTCTCTCCTGCTTCATAGACTTTTGATTTCCTAATAAATACATACTATTTCCAAAAGAACCCAGGTCTCATATTGGGACTCCTGAAAGACACAGGCTGTTGTCAATGTAGTTGAAGTATTTAGGCTGCAATCTGAGAGCAGGGTAAAACTGAGCAAATTTGAGCTTGAGTTGTGGCTAGAATTTAGTGTCTACTTTTGCAAGGCCTGTTGACTGTCTACAGAGCATTCTGTAGTGATGCCAGCTCAGCCGTGCGGCTTGAGGGGAGAGGGGTTCTTGGTTAAGCACTTGCCAGCCACTCACTGTTCATCAGTTAGAGGACCAGGGCAGGGATGGCAAATGAATGTAGACTGTGGGGGAACTCTGATGAACTAGGACTCAACAGAGCAGTTTGGGAACACAAAAAAGGAGAACAGTCTGTTATCAGAGTCTGCCCTGAGTATGGCAGTGGGGCATGGCATTTGTGTTACAGGTGTACCAGCCTGTATTCTAATGTAATGGAGGTCAGGTGCCTTACTGTGTGTGTTCATTAAGCTACTACATGGAAGCATCAGTTCTTGAACTTCAGCTGCATCAGCATCACTTGGCGGGGTTGTTGAAATGCAGATTGCTAGGCCCCATGCCTAGAGTTTCTGAGTTTTATTGTCATGTCCCTGGACCATGTTGATGGTGCTGGTCAGGGGAACACATTGTGATGGCCACACTTCAGGAGCAGTGGCCTTTAACCTCTGTTGGAACATGGACCCTGGGGAGAGTCAGGACTCCTCTCCAAGGTACATATATTTTCATTCTATCCTCAAGTCCAATCCACATATAGTTAAGAACGTCTGCTCCACAGATACTTTTCTTGTTGTTGTGCAGCTTTTATTGGTAACCAAAGTTGGATGACCTTAGCAATTTCAAGGATTTATGATGTTTCCAGCAAACTAAGTCATTATCTAATTTTGAAGAATTTATTGCTAGTTTGAACTTTGGCCTTGTTTCTCTCTCTACACTGTCTACTGAGGATGGACTAGAGAATCAACCCTGAACAAAGGAGTCTCATCACTCATGCTATCAACATTTCTATTCGTATGGGGCTTTATAAGATAATGATGACTTTCTTTCTAATCATACACATTAACCTAGTTTTTAAAACATACTCTTTTCCCCTTTATCTTTTTGGTATTATAACATACATTCATTAAGCCTTCTGTAGTTAAGTCTAAATTTCTTAATTTCTATAATGAAATCTGTCTTTGTTTCTATAGTTAGGGCCATAGTCTGGTAAAAGTATCTGATTTTTATTCTGAAAATTATAAAACTTCGACTGCAAAGGCCTGAAAGATGACGGTTAAACCAGCCCCGCCCACACCCATGTGCTGCAACCTTTCCTGAGCACCTCCTCAGGCTTTTCCAGGAAAGGGCATTAGATGTGCGGGCTGCATGACTTTGCAGGATAACTCCTGAAATCTGGCTTCTTTTCCTTTTCCCTGCTGGTCCTGGTGTTTGCTGTGTAATCACACTGAGTCCATGTAATGCCGTGTCTCTAGGAGCCTTGAGATGTTTGCAGGCAGCTGCAGGGCTCTTGTCTGGCATTCTTTTCATGCCCCAGTGTTTCTGCTGCTCTTATACCTCTTCCTCCTCCTGTGCCCTGCCCACCCAGCTCCCCTGCCCCCTGAGTTACTCTTGCTAGGGGAGAACGAGGTTCACTGCTACTGCCACACTTTCTACAAAATGTCGTTACAGTGGAGCCACTTGTCTTCATCAGGGCCATTGGCAGATGGAAGTTTCTGACACGCCTGTGTCTTGGTAGGAAGTGCAGTGCTTGTGTGGTTGAGACTTCCTGAGGCCGATGGTATGCATCCATTTGCTAATGCATATGGAGGCTTGATCATTGCAGAGCCTCTGCCTGAACAAATGCACTTTGTAGAAGTCTAAATGCAGAAGTATATCACAAGTTTTCTTCTAGTTGTTTTCTCCTTGGCCTGGGCAACAGAAATGGTAGGGAAAAGTTGGTGGCTATGTGAGAAGATCTCTTTGGTAAGGTACACTGGATGAATGACAAGACATTGGGGCTAGGCCTTATAAGACAGATGGGAGGAGGCAAGTGGGATAACTTGCTGTTGACACCTACCCAGTTAGAACTTCTCACTTCTTACTGTCTAGTTTTCCATTATTTTTTAGTATGACCCTCAATTCGGCGATGCCTTCTGGAACAGCAGCAAATATGGGATGGTGACATACCTGCTGAGAATGATGACCAGCTGGGCCATTGTCTGCAGTGTGTGGTACCTGCCTCCCATGACCAGAGAGGTGGGTGCCCACAGCCCAGCAGAGGTATGCACTTACCTCTGTGTGACCAGAAGTCTAGACTGAGTGGTCTATTCTTCTTTCTTACAGACAGATGAAGATGCCGTCCAGTTTGCAAATAGGGTGAAATCTGCCATTGCCAGGCAGGGAGGACTTGTGGACCTACTGTGGTGAGTTTCGAGCCAGGCTTTGTCAGCTGAGTCTGAGAACATGAATTTTGGAGATAGATGCTGAATCATTGAATCCACTTACATTTAATTCTCCAGGGTGTGGAGAATTAAATTTGCCAGCTCTGGAGAGTGGATAGTTTGACTCCTTTCTCCTAGTTTAAACTCAGAAGTGCCCTGTGCTGCCTCGACCTTGGGAAACATGGACTCAAGCATCCCTGGACTGTAGCATTTGATTCTGTGTGCTTTTCTGAGGTTTAAACCAATCTGCCAGGGCACTCAAATAGTGCCTTTTCTTCAGCAGGGGTGACCTGAAGCTGTTGTGGAAACCTCATAGGAGGATGGCCTTTCCCTGTGTACTTGGCAGAATTGGACATCCTCAGAAAAGCAGAAGTTTCATTTACTGCATTTAGCTTGTAACCTAGTAGAGTAAGGGTTAGCAAGTGTTTTCTGTAAAGTCAGTATGTATCTCAGAGTGTCCAGGCCATGTGGTGTCTGTTGCAGTGACTTATCTCTGCCTTTGTAGTGTGAAAGTAGCCAGAACCACTACACCAACAGACAAGTGTGGCGTGTTCCAGCTAGACTATTTATAAAACAGGTCAGCTGGATGTGGCCCATGGGCCATAGTTGGCCAGCCTCTACTAGAGTTTAAGATAGTTTTATCCCAAACAACAGGAGATTGACGGATGAATGCTGGGTGAGAGAAACTGTTAAGGTTCTTGGATCGACTGTGGAGCGCACTTGGCCTAGGAGGACATTATGAGAAGAGAAAGGGGAGAAGTCACATTTTAAACTGAACTGTGGTGTATTAGCTTGGCCCTCAGAATGAAGCCCTTAAAAAGTGGGGGTGTTTATTGAGCTCTTATAGTGTGCTAGGCACTATACACTGAGGCCACGCATGATCCTTTCATTTCACTCTCACAATAGCCCCAGGAAGTGTAAACATTGTTATTCCCGTTATACAGATGAGAAACTGAATCCAGAGAGGTTCAGGCACTTTTTGCCAAAGTCATAAAAGATGCACTGGAGCTAGATTTTGAACCCAGGTCTTAAAGACTTTTAAGGCTAGAATCTGTCTCTACTTTGTGTTCCCATATCTGAGGCTGCTTTTAAAAACACCTTTGTGGATTTTAAAGGCTACAACAGAAAGACTGAAAGTAGCTTAGATTTTCCTAAGTCATTGAAGGTGATGATAATTCTAGGGTTCAGACAAGGATGTGGGAGTGACATATAGGTGGGAATCGAATGTGAAGAAGCAGCCCCAGGTCTAGCGGGTGTGTCAGGCCAGGACTCTGAGAGGCTGTCTGAGGAGTTTCTCCTTCAAGTCCCTTATGGTGCTGTCTCTGAGCCTGGAAGAAATAAGAACATGCGTTTCCCCTGTGTTAGTTTTTTTGTGTGAATTTGGAGTGTCCCTGGGTCTGAATTATACAGATTGCATTTTACAGATCAATTTTACAGATGCATTATGAGTCTCGATACTTCTTAAAGTATGTTCTCCGTCATGCCAGAATGACTCCTTCAATCCTCTGTAAGGTTAAGACGAATGTTAGAGCAGAAAGAGTGTTAAATTCCTTGGTCAGTTTAAGCAGTTACAAAGTACCCGGCATATGACTAGTGAGCAAGAGGGAGCATTTTAGGGGGAAGGGTTGGATTTCGGGGCCTGAGGTTGGTGACTGCAGCCATTCTGATGAAGGAGCCATGAGTGTCCCTGTTTCTGGTAGGCTTGATATTTGAGCAGAACAGGGAATCTCCCAGGTGCAGGGGGACCTGGAAACCTTCTTGGCTGTGACATCCAGTCTTTCTCTTGTCAGGGATGGTGGCCTAAAGAGGGAGAAGGTGAAAGACACGTTCAAAGAGGAGCAGCAGAAGCTGTACAGCAAGATGATCGTTGGGAACCATGAGGACAGGAGCCGCTCCTGAGGCTGCATACTGGCGGGGCTGTGCCCTTGTCCTGACGCATGACCAGCTGGAGTCGTTGCCACCGCCGCCGCCCCACTGCTGCCTCCTTTCCAGACTCCGGGCTCTCCGGGGCTGCTCTGGATCCCAGGACTCCAGCTCCTTCTGAGCCTCAGCCGGATCCCTGAGCCGGGGCAATGCGGCCTGCCCCACATGGTTGGAATGAATGCTGCTGAGCGTAGCTCCCCAGGGCGAGATGCCTTGTCTCTTTTATGATGAGTCCGTTGGAAGAATGCCATTAAAGTCTACTCTCACACTGTGCGTGTTGTGCAAGGCTGAGTGGTGGCAAACTTCAGCCACATGCTCATGTCCAGGATGGCAGGACATGAGTCTCTTATGCATGCCCATATGCCGGGGATTCAATGGGGAAGGGCCCCCCACTCTTGAGGAGAGGCCCTGCTGATGCACTAGATCCCACCCCAACGTTGGAGCTCTGTGGACTTGATAGAAGGAAGACTTGTCTGCAGGGGCCTTCAGCAAAATGGAGTTTAGATTCTTGTGCTACTGCTTATGGGAAGTCACCAAAGGGGGTGGGAGGAGCCAGGTTGACACGGGTTGTTGGTGGTGAGAGCCAAGAGTCTCTTGTTCAACTCCAGGCTAACCTTGAGTTCCCCATGGAACGCACTCTCTATTTTAATGTGTGCCTCGGTTTCCCCATCTGTAACATGGAATGGGAGGGGGAAGGGTGGTAATACCTACCTCACAGGGTTGTTGTGGGGGTTAAAGTGCTTCTGTGAATGAAGAACTCGCAGTGTTCAGTGTTAGGAGTACAGGTCCATGAAATGTGGCAGGACACGGTCTGAGCTCAGAGCCATCGCACAGGGCTTTGGGTTTGTTTTTGTGAGTAAATAAAATTGGATGGTGAATGAACTGGGGATATTCCCTTCACTCCTTCCTCCCTGGTGTAGCCCTGAGCAGCATATTCTATGAGGTGAGTGTTCTCTCAGTGAACCGCCTTGTCCGGTAGGGAGGCCACCTGACTTCTAGAGGAACCCTAATTGGGAAGAAGGTGAACGACTCATCTCTGATGTCTGCACACCCTTCTGCCTCATGTAGCATGTTCGGCATGGACGTGGATGTCTCCACAGATGGTGCTGTGGGCTGGAGGCATGGGGGGCACTGTTCCATGGGGGCGGGTGTGAGGCAGTGGGACGCACTGAGGAGACACCAAGGGCCCTGGAGAGACAATGAGGGTGGCAGGGTGAAGTACACGGGGGCTTCCACAGCCAGAGGGGCCATCGAAGCCTCCCAGAGGCTCCAGCAGCCGTCTATGCCTGCCCCGTGTCTGTACCAAACAGCCTGTGGGTTCCTGCACCTAGGATCCATCAGCTTCACAGCCCTCAGCAGTGTCACCTCAGCTTCCCACCTGCCATCAGCTCTCCAGGACACACTCCATGGGCAGCCACAATGCCACCCAGCCCTGGTGAGTGCTGGGTCCCCAAGGTCGCCTTCTGGCCTGGGGTTTGGGGATGTTCTGGGTGAAACCACACCCCCGAGGCTGTATCAGTTCTTCCTTGTCCTGCTCTAGGACCTGACTTGGGGGCCTTACAGTCTCATGCTCACCCCAGCGCCTTCCTGTGACCTCCCCAAATCGTCTCCCACTTTCTCTTACCTGCTGTCTTGCCAGCTGGTGGGAAATTCTCTTTTTTCTCTCAAAACTGTTGTTACGACTGTAACAACAGCCTCTTAAGATGGTCTTATACATTGTTCAAGGATAAAAAGTGGTTTTCAGTTTTTGTAGGAGGTGATCTTTACAAATGTTAATAAACTAACTGGAATGCTCTTCAAAAATTATTCTAGGAGGTCAAGTAACCTTTTAAAAAGTTCCCCTGAAACATTTATTCATGGTTTGTTTCTTTCATTCATAGTTCACATAGGTGCAAGTATATGTTTTGCTGTAGTTGCACCTGTCTGGGCCCAGCACCAGGGTAAGTCACACCCACAAATGAAGTCTTGGGCCTTGTTATCTCCTGCCTGCTGCAGCATTCCAGCTCGTGCAATGTCTCCATCCTTTTAAACTGGGGGTGTGTGGCCCTGGGTTAGCCACATGTTGGAGTCTCTGGTTTGGGGTGACTGAGTGGATCTCGTGGCAGAAACTTGAGACATCTAGAAACAAGGAAGGTACCTAGTGTGCTCGGGCTCTTGCCCCAGCAGGGGAGGGACTGAGTGGGAGTAGAGCTGGGGCTCAGCTGGTGGCGTGGCTGGTGGCAGGAGCTAGCCTGCCTCATTCCTGTCTCCGTACTGGCTGCTCCTTGGCTTCTCCACACGGCTCTGCATCTGCCTCCTCATCCATAGCTGGGACTTGGGCTCAGTGCCCTGAGAACACCGTCCATCTCTGATGTTGCTAAACCCATGTTCCCTCATGCTTGATCTCTGAAGTCTCCAGAGTTTCAAAATCAGTTGAATCCGTTGCTTCCTCTGATGCATCAGGGCTAGTGAAGCCAGACTCCACCAGGGGTGTTCCCGTGCCCAGGAGAGTGCCATAGGTCCAGGCAGTGGTGGGGCTCGGTGCTCTTCATTGTGGGTCTTGACAGACTGAAAAGTCACCCCAACAGACTTTCCTGCAGCTAGCTAGGGAGGGAACTCTCTAATAAACTTAGTGAGACTCCCGTGACAGAGGACACTCAGGAGACTGTCAGCAGCTCCTGAGTGAGCTTGGCTAGTGGACCCTGATAGAGCAGTTGGCGATGGTATTCTCCTGACGGCAGAGCCAGCTCTGGGCCCTGACCCCTGTGCCAGATCCCACTCCCTAGATTGCCCCCCAGAGATGAAAAAAGTCTTGATGTGTGAGGGGTAGGGGGAGTGTCCTAGAGCCCTGAATGCCCACCCCAGACCAGTGTCAAGCATCCTGGGTACCATGATGTTTCAGACCCTCATGGCAGAACCAGCAGTGGGCAGAGCCCTGTTGCCCTGGGAAACCATCCTTCCTGGCACTGGCCAAGAAAGAACCGGGTCATCTGTGGGATGGTGCTTCCCACTTCCCCCATGCATGAGATCCCCTGCACAGATCCCACTACCTGCTGTGAGTATGTGTGGCCAGACTCCTCCGGGCGCCCTCATCCCATGTGGCCGACATCCGGAAGGGCAGCTGCACACGCCCTGCTTCGCGGCCAGGCCCAAAGCCGGCCTGCGGCCATCCGTCTTCCATCCAGCACACCCCTCTCCCCCAGTCAATACGTCTCTCTCCGATGGGAAAGTTAATAAATTTTGCTCTAGATTAAAAGTATTGATCATTTCATTTGTAAACGATAAATAAAAAGGGGGAACTTTTCATTGCACAGGGTGGCGTGCGGTGTGTGTTGCGGGCGAGATTGCGCCATGGCCGAACTGGGCCGCTCATATGCATCCCGGCCGCCGGCCGCATCGATTTCCTATTAGTCTCCCAGCACCACCCAGTAACACATCACTTCAGCACCTGCTATTAATGGTCTTTTGATAAATAATCACTTGTAAGTCAATAAATTTTTATTAAACAGTGTGGCTCTTTGATTTATGAAAATCCGACCGTGTTTGTCTGGGAGAAAAGGGATGCTGAATTGAAGTGGAGGGCTCCATACATCTTCCTGACGCTGAGCAGTCACCACGCACTCCAGAGAAAAACAATTGCATTTTAACAGAAACAAAACAGCCGAGTTTGGAACTTGGGCCCAGGGAAACTTTATCTCCGTCAACCCGAGGCTCACCCTGCAGGGAGCAGCTGAAGGCCTGAGGGCATCGACTGAGAACTTGGTACTGGCTCCTGAGAGTGCCAGGTGCCAGGGTAGGGCCCCTGTTCCACTGCATGCTGGGATACACAGCCACTGGTCAGTCCTCTTTTAGCTGCGGTGGGCCCTGAGTGGGCACCCTTTGCAAACAGACATCTGAGATGGACAAGAAGAGGCCTCAAACGGCAGGACCACCAGCTTCCTCACTGGCCACATTTGCACCAAAGTCACATTTTGTGGCAGGAAGATGTGCTGAGAAATAACCTGTGTTTCGTGGAGACTGGGCTGTATGGATTATCTTTTAACGTGGGTCAACAGCAGAAGACTGGAAATCTTTCTCTTTTTTCATCGTCACCCAGACTGGAGTGCAGTGGCACAGCCCTGGCTCAACGCAACCTTGAACTCAGGTGATCCTTCCACCTCATCCTTCCGAGTACCTGGGATTACAGGTGCTTGAAGCCACACCTAGCTTATTTTTTTATTTATTTATTTATTTTTTTTTTGTAGAGAGGAGGTCTTACTGTATTGCCCAGGCTGGTCTCAAATGCCTGGTCTCAAGTAATCCTCCCACCCTGACCTCCCAAAATGCTAGGGTTACAGGTGTGAGTCACTGTGCCCAGCCTGGCAGTTTTTCTTCTGAGATTTTTGTTGGCATAACATTTGCTGTAAAAGATTGGCTCCTTCTCATCTAGATGAATCCAGACCCCAAACAGACTCTTATGTAGAGCAACCCAACCACTGACTGTAGAACCGGGATTCTCAGCTCAGAGGGAAGGTGTAGGAAAGGGGGAAGATCTGGATAGTAAGTGTTTTTATTAGAACATAATTATGTAATTAATATTAGAACATGGGTAGTCAGATTTCCTTATCCAGGCCATGCTGCTGACTCACCCATCCATGTTTAGAGTGGCAGGCAGGCACACAAGCAGGGTTTTTGAAAGCAGGAGTCCTAGTAAGAGTTGAGCTGGGGTGCTAATGCTTTCTACTGGCTTCGAACCTTCTCCCAGGCCATCTGGATTTCCTGTTCCCTCCAGGTCTCAGGAGGTGACCAGGAGGCTGGAGAGCACCAAACACAGGCAGAATGGCCGCAGAACAGGTGAGTATTAACAGTGATTTTCAGGAGCTCAGGACAGGCTGGGCTCATATGTAGGAGGCGGGTCAGGGAGCCTGGTTTTTCTTCCAAGACCCCCTCCTACCCCAGGTAATGCAGTGACAGGCCAGGCCAGGGACAGAGTGGATGCAACCTTCTAGAACATGAGCATTAAGAGTGTCATGTTTTGTATGTGCAAGCTTCAAGTCTACATTTTTTTTTTTTTTTTTAGTCAGAGTCTCACTTTGTCACCTAGCCTAGAGTGCAGTACAATGCTCATGGCCACTGCAGCCTCAACTTGCTGGGTTCAGGTGATCCTTCCGCCTCAACCTTCCAAGTAGCTGGAACCAGAGGTGCACACCACCACACCCAGCTAATTTTTTTTATTATAGAGACAAGTTCTGGCCAAGTTGCCCAGGCTGGTCTCAAACCCCTGGGCTCAGGAAATCCTCTCTCCTCCACCTCCCAAAATGCTGGGATTACAGGCGTGAGCCACTGTCCCCAGCTCAAGTCCACTTTCAAGGCAAAGCAGGAGGCTTCTGAAGTGTTTCCCTTGGGGGCTCACCTCTAGCCTTTGCAGTACCCCGTCGCCCTATGTCTTCTGCCCATGATGTCCCACTCCTGTTGGGAGCACTTTGGAGAATCGTCTTATGGTTTTTGTACTCCATGAAGTTAGTCGCAGTGGTTCTGAATCAAGTGCATGAGACTGTAAGAAAGGAATGACTCCTACTTGGCAGCTGCCATTACAGCTGCTGGGGGCCACGGGGTGAAATCGGCACAAAGATGAAACAAGGAGCAGAAGGAGCACTGGGGCTGTCACCCAGCGGATCCCCACACCACTTGTTGATGTCACCAAACAGGAAGCCACGGCAAGAGGTAGGTTGGAGGCTCAGTCCCCCTTGGGGGTAATGAGACCTGAAGGTACCAGCGTGGATGATCTGGTAATCCCAGGGACTGCCGTGACAGTGTCTCCTTCCCTGACTCTGGGGTCCTGGAATGCATCCGGAGTTTCTGAACCACTCCCTGTGTCACAGATGCAACTCTGAATGGCTGGAGGTGAGATCAAGAGAAGGTAGCCACC